CCGCTACCTCTCAAACTTTTTAATGAAATTGAAAGGGAAATAATACTCTCAAATTCATTCCTGAAAGCAAGTATTACCCTGATAACAAAACCACAGAAGGATCCAACCAAAAAAGAGAATTACAGGCCAATCTCCCTAATGAACATAGATGCAAAAATCCTCAATAAGATACTGGAAAAAAAAATGCAGCAAATCATAAAGAAGGTTATACACCATGACCAAGTTGGATTAATCCCAGGGATTCAGGCATATACAAATCAATAAACGTAATATACTATATTAAGAGAGCCAAGGACAAAAACAGTATGATCCTTTCAGTAGATGCAGAAAAAGCATTTGACAAGGTCCAACACCCATTCATGATAAAAACTTTACAGAAAATTGGTATAGTCTATCTCAATGTGACAAAAGCCATCTATTACAAACCAACAGCCAACATTGTACTAAATGGACAAAAACTAAAAGCTTTCACTCTAAAATCAGGAACAAGACAAGGATGTCCACTCTCACCACACTTGTTTAATACAGTTCTGAAAACACTAGCCAGAGCAATTAGACAAGAGAAAGAAATAAAAGGAATAAGGATAGGGAAGGAAGAAGTTAAATTACCATTATTTGCAGATGACATGATACTCTATATAGAAGACCCCAAGAACTCCACCAAAAGATTTCTAGATTTGATAACCAAATACAATAACTAGATACAAAGTCACCACTCAAAAATCAATAGACTTCCTGTACTCGAATACCAAACTCACTGACAGAAATTAGGTAACAACCCCTTTAACAATAGCATCCCAAAAAAATGAAAAACCTAGGAATCAACCTAATGAAAGAAGTAAAAGAACTTTACATAGAAAACAACAGTACTCTGAAAAAGGACATTGAAAAGTATATCAGAAAATGAAAAGGTATCCCTTGTTCTTGGATAGGAATAAGTAATATAGTGAAAATGGCCATACTTCCAAAATTGCTACACAGACTTAATATAATCCCAATCAAAATTCCAACAGCATATCTCACAGAATTAGAAAAAACAACCCTAAAATCCATTTGAAAACGGAAGAGACCTAGAATAGCAAAGGCAGTTCTGGGCAACAAAGGCAAAGCAGGAGGTCTCACAATCCCTGACCTGAAATTATACTACAAAGCTACTGTGAGAAGAACAGCATGGTACTGGCAAAGAAACATATCTGAGGACCAGTGGAATAGATTAGAAGATGCATAAGCAACTCCAGACATACTTAGCCCCCTTATCTTTGACAAAGGAGCCAAACATCTCCACTGGAAGTCTATTTAATAAATGGTGCTAGAAAAACTGGTTTTCCACATGTTGAAGACTAAAACTAGACCTGTGTATTTCACCAAGCATTAATCTAAAATCAAAATGGGTCAAAAATCTAAATATTAAAACAGAAATGCTAAATCTGCTAGAAGAGATAATAGATAGAACGCTTGAGGACATAGGTGTAGGCAAAGACTTCATGAACAAAACCCAGACCGCATAGGAAATACTACAAAGGATCAACAACTGGGACCTCATCTTATTAAAAAGCTTTTTCAGAGCAAGAGAAACCACCAACAGGGTGAAGAGACAACCCATAGTGTGGGAAAATTTTTTTTAACAACTACTCATCAGACAAAGGACTACTATTTAGAATATATAAAGAACCAAAAAAATTAGACCCCTCAAATTTAAAGACCCAATCCAAAAATGGGCATCTGAAATGAACAGACATTTCTCAGATGAAGAAGGAGAAATGGCTAATAAATGTATGAAGAGGGGCTGGGGATTTAGCTCAGTGGTTGCGCCGCCTGGCTCACAAGTGCAAGGACCCGAGTTCGATCCCCAGTACCAAAAAAAAAAGTATGAAAAAAATGTTCAACATCACTGGTCATTTGAGAAATGCAAATTAAAACAATGCTGAGATTCCATCTCTCTCCAGAAAGAATGGCTGTTACCAAGAAATCAGTCAACAGCAATCACTGGTAGGGCTGTGGGGAAAAAGGAACCCTTCTCCACTGTTGGTAGAAGGGTAGACTGGTGCAACTGCTGTGGAAATAGTGTGGAAATTTCTCAAAAAACTAAAATTAGAGGTTTCATTTGACCTAGGTATTCCCTTTCTGGGTATCTTCCTGAATGAATTAAAAGCATCCTACCACAGAGATATATGCACACCCATGTTTATAGCAGCAGATTGTAATAACTAAATCTGGGAAACACCCCAAATGCCCATCAACCAACAAATGGATACAATGGAGTACTACTCTGCCGTAAGGAAGGATGAGCTTCAGACATTTACAGTGAAATGGATGGACCTTGAGACCACACTCTTAAGTGAAATATTTGACATACATGTTTAAATACCACGTTGTTTCTCTGGTGTGAGAAACCAAAAGTGGAAATAAGGACTAAAATATATACTAGATATTGGGAAATGGGAAGAAAATGTTCAAATGGGAAGGGGAACAAGGGAAGAGGGAAGGAGAAAGGAAGGAAGGGACAAGAAAACAAAAGAGAAAATAGGAAGAAATGGAAACAAAGCTTTGGTACATAAGGAGGGAAGGGGGCTTGAGGGGAGGAGGGAATGGGAAAAATTTTGGCAGGATGTATCACATATAGGTGCAAATTCTCTACAATGAGTGTTATTATTATATATGCCTAAAATGTACCAGTATATGTTTTGCTATAAAAAGTAAATTTCCCAGGCTGGCCTAGAACTTGAAAAAAAAAAAAAGAATAGGGTGACATTGGCCAGCAGGTGGTTCACGTTCTCTGACTTCCTGTACACCTCCAAACTCTCAGGTTGCATGCAGACTTGATAGCTGCACTTGCTAATGAATTATGTTTCAAGCAAACTAAACTGAACAGATAAAGATAGGCCTGTGCAGAGAATAGAAATGTAGGGACCAGAGCCAAAAAGGCCTCAAAGAGGGACAAAGTACAGCATTCTTCAGTCTGTGGGGGACAAACTGAAGCCCAGGGAAGAGTATTTGGTATCTAGAAAAATAGTCTCCTTATTCATCAAATGTGATCCTGGCACAGTCTATAGCAGTACAAACACAGCTGGAAAGTGTAAGTTTAAATTGTTCTTAAACAAAAGGCATGATCAAGTTGTCCCCTACCAGGGAAAATGAATGCAGAACAGACACACACACACACACACACACACACACACACACACACACACACACACACAGAGAGAGAGAGAGAGAGAGCGCACCCCATTGGAACCAGCAGTCATGCAAGCAGCTCAAACAGGGCAGGGTGGGCTAAATAACAAGCTAAACACTGGGAACCTCCTGGGCCTTCTAGAACAGAAGAGTAAGAGCTAATTTAATTTAGATTTTCATAGAGCCAGAGAAAACACCATCATTATCTTTTCTATTTTTTAAAAATGGCTTGCTTGTTCAGTTTTTTTAGTATTTAAAGTTTGTTTGATTGTTTATGCATATGTTTGTATGCTAATTTGTATTAGAATAATACCTCCCTCCTCAAACAAAGCTGGATTTTGAGATGGGGAGATGCAGATCTCTTAGAAATGCCACTGAATGCTTCTCAGAAAAGAATTAAAATGTGCTAGGTACATGTACCAACTTCCCACAATGAATGTAACCATTATGTACTGCAAACATGTACTAATAAAAAAAGAACTCAATCTCTCTCTGTCACTCTGCCTCTGTCTCTGTCACACACACACACACACACAGTGAATGAGAGAAACTGGGAGACTAGTGTGGAAAGAGGAACACAGGAGAAAAGAGCAGATGCTGGCACAGCATCCACAGAATTCCATAAAATTCTCAAGAGGCTGGTTATTTGTGAATAAGAGATACACATTTAGCAAGAAATCAGTGATGACCAATTTTGATGAATGCTACAAAACCTCCCTAAAAACTGCAAGAAGTAAAAAGACAAAAAAAAGAAAAAAGATTCTTGGGTTAAGAAAAAATACTTGGATAAACCATCAATCATATCTGCCAATGTGAAATGCACCTAAAAATAAGTTCTAGGCTAATATTTGCTAAAGGATTATAATAAAGCACTATGGTTGTTTTTGTTTTGGTTTTTTTTTTTTTTGAAGCAGGTTCTCCCTTTGTAGTTCAGACTGGCCCTGAACTCACTATGTAGCCCAGGCTGGCCTCGAACTCACGGTGATCCTCCTGCCTCAGCCTCCCAAGTGCTGGGATCACAGGCATGCACCACCATGCCTGGCTAGTACTATGATTTTGATGTGAATGTTCCCCAAAGACCCATGAGTTAAAGGCTTGGTCTCCAAGGTGTGGCTATGAGGAAGAAGTTTATGGGGAAAAAGTTAAACTTTGGAGGTGGGTCCTAGAGGGAGGTTATTGGGTCATCAGAGGTATGTTCTTTCCAACATCTTTCTCATTCTTTCTTTTGCTTCCTGACCGTGAAGTGAGGGAGTCTGCTCCACCACATAAGCCTGCCATCAAGTTCCATCTTACCACAGGCCCAAAATAATAAGACCACCTAATTATAAATTGACTCAAAACTAAGTCAAATAAACTGTTTCTCCTTGTAATTTTCTTATCCAGAGTATTTTGTTATGGTGACAGAAAGCTAACATATCAGGTTACCAATTAGAAATCACAAGCCTTTCAGTGAGCTTAGTAGACTGTTTATCCTTTTAGGATTTCCTGTATCTCTAACCGAACATTCCTGTGAGTCAAAGAGACACAGGATCAGGGAAAATAGGAGGGACAGGTGGTAGTATATGGCCAGAGGTCAATGGATTTGTGATTACTGTTATAACACACTGAGTACATTATTATTATGCCATTGCAGAACCAAGTTGTGTGGTAAAGTACCTGCAGGATGACTGAATTTTCTCATCAAGTTGGAATTACACCCTTAGGAAATATGAGGTGAATTTATACATGTAATAGAAAATTAGTTTTCTGATCCATTTACCTGTTGAATGAACATAAATACAACTCATAGGCAGTATTAGTTTGAAAATAAAAACGTAAGTCTTCACCTGGCACTGTCTTTGGTACATTTTCAGTTCTTGTAAAAGCTTCTGATTTTCATCTTGTAACTTATTCCTGCTTAATGCTATTTCATTCACAGCCAATTTTAATTTTTCAATAATGAATTCATCTCTTTCACTGGTTTCACAACTGTGATATGATTGACATATCAAACCAGGAATTTCAGAGCTGCTGTCTTCTATGCACTGTTTTTTACCATTTAATTGAGTTTCATAATTTTGTGTCTGTTTCTGGGGAATATGAAAACTGAGTGATTAAGTGAACAATACCATATTTAAGCTTACATAAAGTTAAGAAAAGAATTAATAAAATCTTTGAATATTTTACTAGATAATGAAGCTTGGCTTGTATAATTCAGTATTATGTTTGTTCTAAAATATCAACTTCAGATAGTATAAAGAGAAAATACATTTTTATAACTTCAAAGCAAAGTTGTTGAATAGGGGAGGGAGCTAAAGGTAGTCTTATTAAGTAAAAAAAAAATCTAGAAGCTATAGAAAGAGAAAATTATTAATTAAATTACACAATAGTTTCTATGACCAAAAATAAATAAAATAAAACAGAACCTTAGATTGTAGAAAAAATGTTGTCAACCCCATGTAAGGTTTAATAATTCCCATTGTATAAAATTTCTACACATCAATAAGACAACTCAAAAGAAAAATAAAGTATTAATAGGCAACTCCTAGAAGAGAAAATGAAAACAGCTACAAAATACATGAAGAGATGCTCAGCCTTAGAAGTATGTAGGGAAATGTAAAGCAAATCAAGCAATCTTAACTGCCTGCCCATAGGCATACAAAAACACACATCATTTCCACAATGGGATTTTTAAATAGTATTATCCTTTCAGATTTGCAGACTAAATTCATCATTACATGTATTTCATTTACTTGTGATTGCACCCACCACTGGATTGACTCTGGTTATTTTTCCTTGATTTACATTTCTATTTGTAAATGGATTACATGCTGAATGGCAAGGATACCAATACTTAGCCTCTAATTTCTTCTAAGTTAGAGGGTAGTATTAGATAATTTACCTGAAATTGATTATACTTTTCAGATAATAAGTTTTGTTGAGCATCTAAAGAAACCAGATGAGTCTGATATAGTATCTCTTGCTTGTCCCATTCTCTTGATTTTACTCTAAATTCCTTTAAAAATTGGGGGGGGGGCAAACACAAGTTGAAGTATATTATTCATTTAAAGCACAATGAATAGGAAAGCAGAATGAATTCTTTCATTTGTACCTCTTCATTTTGAGAAAAATAATTAAATTTGTTTTTTACATAGTAGAACAAACCAAACCAAAAAAAGTATCAAAGCACTCATGTAGGATTTATTACTACAGGTTGAGACTATCCCCTATCCAAATTGCTTGGCACCAGAAATGCTTCAAATTTTAGATTCTGGAATATCCGTGTATATACATAATGAGATAACGTGAGGAATTGACCTGAGTATAAACAAAAGAATCATTTATATTTCATATTTACTTTATACACATAGCCCAATGGTACTTTTATACAGTATTTTTAGTGTGCCTGTGTTTTGACTGTATTCATCATATGAGATCAGGTATGGAACTTTCCATTCATGGCATCATGTCAAGTGCTCAAACAATTTTGGAGTTTAGAGCATTTGGGATTTCAAATTTTCAGAGCAGGTATGCTCAACCTGTATCTTTCAATTTTTGGTAGGGAAATATAAAATTTTTAACTTAATCCTTTTATAAAATATTAAACATTTTATGTATTAAAAAGCACAACTTATAAATCTAAGTCTATGATAACAAATGGTGATTATTAATAAGGTAGTTTCAAACAACTTTTGCTTCAACTAGTACTTTATTTCCTGACACAAGACTTTTTTTTTTCTTTCATTTCCTCCACTCAAGTCACTGAATGAATTCCTTTGTTAAGAGGGCAGGGCGTAGACTTATTTGGTGACTGCTATGGACTGAATGTATCTTCTCCCAAATCCACATCTGGAAGCCTAATGCCCAATGTGATGAGATGGGGGTGGGGTGGGCCAGTAATTAGGTTATAATGCCAGAGCCAACTCTTGTAATAAGAGATATGAAAGAGTTTTCTTTCTCTTTCTTCTTGCTATATGAGGATACAAACAGCAGATAGGCATCTGTGTACTAGGAGGAGGGGCCCTCAACAGATTCTGACCATTGTGGCACTTTGATCTTGGGCTTCTAGCTTTCAAGATTGTGAGAAATAGATGTCTGGTGTTCAAGACACACAGTGTATGGTATTCTCTTATAGCACCCTGAACTCATACTAAAATCCCTTGTGGCTTTCAAAGCTATTGTCCAATTTGAAGCCAAAATCATCACTCTTGGGAACAGAAAAACCATATCAGACTTCATTTAGAAAGTACCAATTGGGCTACCTGGGGAAGAAAAGGTAGAACTGGCTTGATAGAGTATGCTTAGCTCTTGAAGTTTCTGTTCAAGTAATGTAGTCATAGAACATGATTATCTGTTCACAACTTAATAATGTGAGCAAAGGATATGGCTTTGGAGGTGTCAAAGAAGACTTCTCAATTTTGTCCTGGGCAGGCCATTGCATTTATCTCTCTGTCCAGGCTGTAAGCAACTTAATGCTAAGCATTGTGTATTTAATTACTTTTCTATTGCTTTTCATTGACAAAAGGCCAGGTATAATCTACAAGCAAAAGCATGGTATTAACATTCCCTAAAATGTAGAAATTTCTCACTAAATTTTCCAAAGAAAACAACATGGTTGAAAACAAACTCTACAACTACTAAATTCCTGCTTACATATTATTGTGTACATATATACATGGAATATGAACAACCTATTCTCCAGGTTATGTGGAGAGAAGAAAAATTGGAACTATTGTATGGTTAAAATTTTGTTCTGAAAGAAAAAGGCAAGGAATATATGGTAAAATAGGGAAATGTACATATATAAGGAACCAATTTATAGTATGATAGGTATAGTGATTTTGTCACATAAAAGCCATGCAGATATCTTCCCTAATATGTCAATTTGAAACACAATTCATTTGACCAGAGTGATCTGTACTGTTTTAAAGATGGCTGAAATGATTGGATTGGCTATGCTAGAAAATAAATATGCTATTTTAGAGGATGTAAATTGTATCTTGCTTAAAATGGGAAGAACATGGAATTTCATATTTTCCATAGAGAAATGACTTTAAAGAACATTTAGAAAAATTTCCATTTTATAAATCTACAGTCCCAAAATAATGAATGACGAAAAGTTATAACTTAGAAAGCTTTTATAGTATTTCAATGTTACCTGAAATTGCGTGATGAGAAATTTTGATGGATACTTTTGTCTTCTAAATACATATGAATCCCTTATGATAAGCTATATTTATTAGGTAAATGAAAATAGTTTGTTTAAAGTTATTGACTTTGATTCTGACATGAAACAATTTGAAAATTATAGGAAACCAGACTTTTAGTATTTGTAACAAATTTACAAAATCAGGCTCTAGTAGAAAATAGGTAGCATTTCCAAATCAGTGAAGTCTAAGGTTTAAAATACTTGTTGGCTTTTAATTTAAAAAGGTGTCTTTGGAGTAAGAAGTCAAAATTTGAGCCAGGCTGATGTAAGCAGTAAATATTTTTTAAATAATACAAATACTTAGCATCATCTGTCTAGCACAAATAAATATTCTGTAGCATGAATTGGGGGAGGCAGGAGCATTAACCTTAATTTCTTACTAATGTTACAACAGGCAGAAATGAGGCCAAGAATGGCTAGAAAAGTGTGTCACAGACATATTAGGAAGTACTTAAAACAGACTTGGCTTTAGCAGTCAAATAGAAAGACTGGTTTCAAGACTAGTCAGTCAGCACAGTATATGTACTAGTATGGTATCATGTAGAGACCAAAGAGAGTTCTAAGGGTTTTTGTAGAGATTGGAGCTGTCTGCCTAGGCTTCAGGGCATGTGTAGACTTGCCTAGATCTCTATCCAGAGTAAAGTCTTCTCCAAGGCTGGAAATTCTTTCCTGGACTTTACATTCAAGAGTTAGAAGTAGTCATTGTCATTAAAATTAGAGTTCTAGTGGTAGCTGTTATTAGATTATTTTTAAGAAAACCTTCAACTAAATATTTGGAGATGGTCTTTAGTGATTACTGTATCACAGGGACTCTATAAACCTCAATGTGTAAGATGGTTTTAACTTTATTTTTTTTGGTACCGGGGATCGAACTTTGGGACCTTGCACTTGAGAGGCCAGCAGTGGCACCACTGAGCTAAATCCTTGGGCCATGGTTTTAACTTTTTATTAGGAAAAATTTCATACATGAAAGTAGAGAATAAAGGAAACTTTCACATACTTTTCACCCAGTTTAACCAGCATCAACTTGGTCTACCTTTATTTCTCCAGACACTCCACCCTTTTTTTGGGAATATTTTGAAGCAATTTCTTGACCTCATGTATTTTCACCCTTAAATGCTTCACCGTGCATTTCCCCATAACCACAATGGCACCTATCAGATATTTTTAAACACCACTTACTGATGGAAAAATGGAATCTCTGTGAGACAAGACAAATAAATGAGTCTTCAGGGTATGTTTTACATTATAAATGTAAAGCTTTGTTGTTGTTGTAACAATTTATATGTATGTGGGTCTCCCCAAAAGCACACAAAAAGCCAGTTAAATAGATAATCAGTGACTTGATCTCCATTTTGAGTGAAAGAACATGTGTTTTACACAGCACATCTTTGGATGTCCTCTATGAGAACACAATACTTCTAAAGCCAGCCTGGAATTTCTGAGCCAGTGAAAACCAAGAAATCAGTGCTACTGTGCATTCTCTTAGGGGGCCAACCCGCTGATAGTAATTTTGTATTTGAAGAACTGTATATATTATCCAGTAAGATATAAAATTTGCTGAACTTTTAAAGAACAAAATCCACAACTTCCTACAAAGTTCTTGCAACAGCCTAGTTTTAAGGCTGTGATGTCAGACTTTATTTTTCTCTACTTTTATTAAAGATATTTTGGAGCAGAGAATTGTTAATTGAGGAAAAAGATGATGATGTATGAAATAGAGCAGGGACAACTAGTTAGGAGGAATAGCAAAGGGGCAGATTTGGGCTGAAATATGAAGAGTAAGAGGCCAAAAAGGTATCTGAACTTGGTAATTGGGAGGTGCAGAACCATTATTAACCAATGAATAAAAGAAAAAAAGATCATTAGCTAGGAGCAGGAATGCTGGGATTTAGGACATGAGAGGAATGAAAGAAATTGTGTGGGATAATATAAGGGTGATTCAATTAAAAAATAATAATTGGGCAGCACTGGGAACCCAGCTAAGGTTAGATGACATGAATTTACAGTAGAATCTACTTGCTGTTATGTGTCTTATAGAAGGGATGCTAAAGAGTATAGGGAAGAAAAATAGCTAGTTTGTGTTCTCTAAAGTTGGAAAATTAAAAGGATAAAAATAAATGAAGTGGTGACATTGTGAATCTACAGACTGAGATTTAGAAGTTCTAGGAGATAAGGGGTGACCAAAATTGGAGCTGTGCTATACCTTTAAGGAAAAAACCCTGAAACTTTAAGCCTTGCAATGAAAACTATTTTGAGGCTTCATTGGGATTTAAGTACCTAACAGTTGAATGGCCATTAACAGATTTATTAGATATTTCCTTTAACTGACCCCAAGGGTGTCTTTTAATTTCACTCAACAGCTTCAGTTTCTTTGAATGTTTTTTTTTGCTCTCTCAAAATGCTGATAGATATAAAAGATGGATAAATCAAAGTGATGTTTTAATTCACTAAGTGCTTGAAGGGAAGGTACACTAAGAAAATACATTCAATGAAAGATTGATTTGTAATGGTGTTTTTACCACAGTTGTACATAATACTGCGTATACTAGAAACACCCCACAATGTGAACAGTGATGAAAATCAATCTTTAACACACACAAAGAAACTAAGAAAATATACCTCACCTCTAATTTCTGGTTCAAATTGCTCAGTTCAAAGGGTATTTCTTCTTTGTGAGACAATTCTTTTTGGTGAATTTTGTTTTGTTTCATCTGATGTAATCTCAGTTTTTCAAAGCTGTTTGTTAGTTGGGAAAACTGTAAATAAAAATACTAACATTTTACTATTAACAGTTACTTCTAGCTTGATTTCACAATATTTCTTTCCTTGTGTACCTCTTTGAAAATTTAAGTCATGATTAGAAAGTGCAGTAAAGCTTAAATGTTCCAATTAGTGAAGATAGAACCAGTTATTAAAACTAAATTATTGAAGCTGAACATGATTCAGCTTTCATGTAAATTTGGGACTTAATTAACTGCACAGTTAAACAATGATTCACTTGATAAATGTTTTGTTCAGTTTTGTTTTAAACTGAATATTAGCAAAGCTCACAATTAAAAAAAAACAAGTTTTCTTTCTTACTTTTATTTAGTGCCATCTTGTGTTGACAGTTTCAATTTCAGTAACTCAATCTATAAAATAGCCAGCTTATATTTTGTTCAGGAAAACTGAATATCTAACTTAAATGATAATATTTCCTATAAGTATCATAGTGTATCAACATCTCTGAGAAAATTTCTGTATATCTTTTTTCAAGTGTTTCTGCTCATACTTTTAACATTGAAATAGAGGTTCACAGAAAGTTACAAAGCTATTATAGAGAGATTCTGAGTTCCTTTCTCAGTTTTCCCCACTATTTACTTCTTATTGAACTATAGCACAAGCACAACTTATTGATATAGTATGATATCAAAACAGGAAGGAGATATTGATCCAATATATGTGTATAGTTCTATGCCCTTCTGTCACATATGTAGATCTGAGTGACCATAACCACAATCAAGATACAGACCTAGGAGCTGGGGCTACAGATCAGTGCTAGAACTTGTAATTAGCCTGTAGCACTCTGGGTTTGATCCCCAAACAACAACCACAAAAAAGACACAGAACTACTCCTGCCTTCCTACTACCTCTTAGGGTCCCACCATGACCCCCACCTTCCTACCCCTAACCCCTAGCAACTACTAATTTTTTTCTATCTCTATAATCTTGAATTTTGAGAAAGTTATGAAATGGAATCATGTAATATATGATTATTTGAGAGTGATTTTCTTATTTCACTCAATTATCATTGAGATCCTATAGTTCATTCCTTTTTAGTGCTGAATAACATTTCATGCTATGAATGTATCACAGTTGTTTGAATATTCACATATTAAAACATTTTGATTGTTTCCAATTTGAGGCTATTACAAATAAAACTATAATTCTTATCTACATTATCTCATTTGAAGTAGCCAATTCTGCTTTCCCTTTTTTCTAATATAATTTCTTCTATGGAGATATGATCACCAATTATAAAATCACCTGAATAAAATTCCACTACATGGATATATCACACTATATCATTTATCAATTGATGGACATTTGAATCACTTTGGGATATTATGAGTATGCTACTATGTAAATATGTATACAAGTTTTTGTGTGGATATGTTTTCAATTCCCTTGAGCGTATACCTAGGAGTAGAACTGCTGCATGATATAGTAGCTCTAAATTTAACTTTTTGAGGAACACTTTTCCAAAGTTTCTGCACCATTTTCCATTCATACTCAAAATGAATGAAGTCAAACTTCTCTAATTGTTGTGTTGCTTGTACTTTTGGTGACATAGCTAAGAAACCATGACTAATCCAAGGTCTCAAATGTTTACTCCTGTGTTTTCGTCTAAGAGGTTTGTAGATTTAACGTTTACATTTAGATCTTTGATTTTGAGTTAATTTTTGTCTGTGGCTTAAGGTAAATTAATTATTTTTTGCATGTGGCTATCAGATTATCCCCATACATTTGTTGAAAAGACTAACCTTTCTTCACTGAATTACCTAGGCAGCATTTCTGTTTTATTTTAATATTAGCATGGTATATTTTTTCCATCTTTTTACTTTCAACTTGCTTATATAGTTATATTTAAAGTGAGTTTCTGGGAATAGAAGATGGAGTTGGGTTATGTATTATTTACTGTACCAGTCGGTCTTTTTAAGCCTGACCTTTTTTTTTTTTTAGTTTTTGGTTTGTTTTTACTTTTTTTGTTTGTTTTGGGTTTTTTTGCCTTTCTTGTGTTCTTGTAGGTTACTTAACATTTTTCAGAATCCATTTTGACTTATCTATAGTAATTTGAGTGTAACTTTTGTATAACTTTTTATGTGGTTGCTGCAAGTATTAAATTATACTTCCATAACTTACCACGGGCTAGTGGTGCTGACATTTTGCCAGTTCGAATCTATTCTTTTACTTTATATTCTTTTACTCTGCCCCATCTAAAACAAAATTGTCTTAAATCTTTTCACACTTGTTAATTTTTCACTGTCATTCTAGGTGAATCAAAGGGAGAAGGAAAGCATATTGTTGTTACCCTTATTTTTACTTTTTCCAGTGTTTTCTTTTTCCTTCCAGATTTCTAGAGATTCCTTCTTTCTAACTTCTTTTTATTGATTTATTTTTTACTAGTACAGGATTGCTGTACATGCTTACCTTTATCTTAGGGAGTAGGCACATGTACTTAACTTATCTTAATTCATTTTATTTGCCTTCTCCCCCACACTGTCTCTAGATCCCCTTCTCCCATTTTCATTACTATTATTATTCAGTTCCCAAGATATGATTACCTTCATTGTAGATAGTTGGTACATGTACATGATACACTTTCAGTATTTCTTATGTCCTCTTCCCCTTTTACCCCCTACCCTCAGTCTCTTAGTCCCCTTCCTATATGCATAAGCTTTACCTCTCTGTTTCCTTTTATCAATCTTTTATCTTTATTTATACTTTGGATTACTCAAATGAGAGAAACCATATGGTATTTAAGCTTGTATATCTAATTTATTTCACTTAATAGTGTTTTCAAGGTGCATCAATTTTCTTATAAGTGCCTTGAATTTATTCTTCTTTATAGCATAGTAGTATTCCATTATGTATAAAGAGAACATTTTATTTATCCAGTCATCTACTGATGGACATATAGGCTGAGGTCAAGATTTAGCTATTATGAATTGGACTGCTGTAAAAATTGGTATTGTATTATTGGCATGTATCAACTTTCATCAGTCATTCTTTTAGTCTTCATGCACTGAACTGCTCTTAGTTTCCCTTCATTTGACAATGTCTCCATTCCATTCTTCATTCTTAAGTGATATCTTTGTTGCATACAGAATTCTAGGTTGATAGTTATTTCAGCACTTGGGATATATTGTACCATTTCCTTATGGGCTCCATAGTTTCTGGTGAGAATTCTATCGTTATCTAAGTTGATTTTCCCCTATGGGCATAGTATTCCCTCTCTCTTACAACTTCCAAGTTTGTTTGTTTGTTGTCATATGTCCTGCTACATATTTTTTTGTTTATTCTTTATGCATTTCACTCAGATTCTTGAATATATACATATATTTTTTGTCAAATTTTTGAGCTATCATTTCTTTGAAGACCTTTATACCCTTTCTGCTTTCCTTCTGGAACTCCAATAATACAAATTTTAAACTTCTCATTATACATTCCAGAAGTATTTACTTTTAGTTTTTCTCTCTGTTGTGCAGATTAAATGTTTTCTATTGTACTATATTCAAATTTACAGGTTCTTTTGTTCTCTCCATACTGTTTCTGAGTTCCCTCACTGAAATTTCAATTTGATTATATTTTCAGTTATAACATTTCCATTTAGTTCTTTATATTTTAATTTCTTTGCTAGAACTAATTTTTTACTCATTTCAAACATGTTTGTAATTGCTCATTGCAATTTTATAACAGCTGCTTTAAAATCTTTGTCAGATACTGCTAATATCTGTGTCATTTTCACATTGACATCAAGTTGGTATCTTTCGGGTTCCTGCTATCATGAGTGATTTTCGAATGGAACCTGGGAATTTGGGCCATTTTATTATGAGTCTCTGGGTTTTATTTAAATATTGTATCTTAGTGGTCCTCTTCTGAAAATGTACCAGCAGGGAAAATGGAGTGCCACCTTATGACTGCCAGGTGGCAAGAGAAATCCACGTTTTAACTTGGGCTCAGTGCCCAAGGGGGTGCTCCTCTCCTTACTGCTGCTGAGTGAGAGTGAGAATTCATGCTCCACACTGGCTTTTCACTGATCCCGCTTTGATAAGAGAAGCATGGATGCCTGTTACTGGCTCTCACATGGTCTTCAGTGATACTGTAGTGGGTAAGGGATGGCCTTGCTGCCCCTAAGCCATGGTGAATCCTCATAGGCTTCTTCAGCACCCCGGAGAGGAGGGGATGGGACACCTCATGCCCATAAGTAGGTGGGAAAATCCAGGGCTGTACATGGTTTCCACTGACAACCCCTGGTTGGGGGAAGCTTTGTTAATGTCTGGTGATGACAAATATTCTGACTCTCAACTCGGTCTTCTCTGACAGCACACAAGTAGGGGGCCTGAGCTACTTTGTTACAGTTTGGAAAGGATGGAAATCTGGGTTTCTGCTCAGCATTTGCTGGTGGGAAGGGGCCGTACTTCCCCCCAGCCTGTGGTATTGGTTGGAGTAGTTATTATGTGAAATTGTCTTATATAATTAGTTTGTCTCCTGCCCAATCTGGCTGGAGACAAGATTTCTTTAGCCCTCTTTTTATTTGTTTGCACCCACTGGCAAATCTAGATTTGTAGTTTCTCTGTGACACAGTATGTGAGGCAAAAAGAAATCCCAGAGAACTCATTACCATGCCATTATTTGGATCCAAATGTTCCTAACCAAACTAAGAAATATCTTCTCTCTACTTTCCAGGGTGGTCTTGTGTTGTTTTATAAATATGCCAGCACAAGTCTCAAATATGCATATGAGTGTGTAACAATTATAGTTATTGTATATTTATGTTGTTTTTTAGACCATTATAGAAAAAACTAGACTTACTGATTTAAGTTTTACATGTTTGGAGTCTCACCTAGAAAAAAACTATATGTAATTTCATAATCCAAGGTACCATTTAGTCCCAGTTACTTGAATTGGAGGCAAAATGCCTAGGTGGGCTAAGCTCATCTTCTAGTCTTACCTGTTAAGGTAATAGATCAGACTTGTTAAATGGCATCAGAAAATTTCAGTCTTAATGACTGACTCCTCTCTTTAAAAGGTACTTTTGAAAGATCATTAACTACTTTAGGCTCTTTTAACTATATTACTGTATATAAATCTTTGCACACCAAGCAAGCTGGTTATAAGGTGAACTCTCATAATAAAACTATTTTCCATTGATTCATTTACTAGGTTAAGCAAGGATGTAGCATCACCTAGTTCAGAGCTCAGATGATTACTACCCTAGGAGATATTTGTGGTAAGGGAGAGAAAGCTTTTTGTTTGTCAACACAGTAAGCTATAGGGATGAGTAAGAAAGAAATCAGTTACCCTCTCATGAAATATGCAGAAGCACTGATTTATGAAACAGCCCTACCAGTAACAAAATAGTGAAGACCAGTTTTATTCTTTCAATGATTTATTTCATAATAGCAGACTTCCATATTTTAAATTGTCATAGATAAAAGGTTATCTTTGTTAGGTAGTAATCAATAAAGATAATTTTGGCTTTGCTGTTATTCATATATCTAATTACTATAATTTAATCAGTCAACAAGTGTCTGGAGAAACTGGAAACTATTAGTTTAGTACTGTGCTAACAGCTAAAGAGGTAAGAAGGTATAGAGGATGACAATCTACTAAATGAAACAAAGTGAGTATAAACCAATGAAAGTCAGGGCTAAATGTGTAATTAAAATATAAGAACCTTTGCTTGTACTAAAAACAGTTGGTTTTATCTGGGTGTGCTGGTGCATGTCTCAAGGGCCAGGACTTTGAGAGGCTGAAGCAGGAGGATTAGGATTGAAAGTTGAAGCCCAAGCTAGTCAATTTAGTGAGACCCTATCTAAAGGGCTGAAGGTATAGCTCATTGTAAAGGCACTGGATTCAAATTCCAGTACCACAAACAAAACAACAGCCACAAATTGGTTTTAATAAAGTTAATACAGTTCTGTAAGTCAAAAGCATATAGCAAAATGGGTAATGTAATTGTAACAAATTTCCTTACTTGATCTTTTAGAGTTTGTAGTTGTCCTTCATAATTCTGAGTCATTTCTAAATTACATTTTTCCAGACTGTCCAACTTCTGTCGAAGTAACCCTACCTGCATTAGGAATAAAATTTAATTTTTCTTTTTTGAAATTTTGCCTGACAAAACCAGAAAATGTGCAAAAGAGAAGCACAATTCAAATAAAACTGCTGTCCTAAACCAAGAATAAATATTTACACTAGAGTTCTTAAAATTGTTATTAATAATTAAATTCACAAAAAACAAACACTGCTAATAGTATTCCACTAGCTACACATACAGTATGGAATAGATCTTTAACAAAAGATGCTCATCACTATCAAATTATAAACAAAGATTTAGAATTTACTTTGGATTATGTTTTTGAGAGGCTATGTCATTGTTATTCAGGTAAAACCTCTCCTAGCATAATTCAATTCTCTGTGTCCCTGTCTCTCCTCCCCTCCTCTCCCCTCTGCTCTGCTCCCTTCCTCACTCTCTTCTCTCTCTCCTCTTCCCCCACCCTACACTCTCCACTGCCTGCAAGGGGAGCTCTGCTTTAGCAGTACCATGAGTAATTATTTGTTGCATTTTTAAATAGGAATTAACATTTAAAAAAAGAATGTCTAAGAAATGTTGTTAAGGATTTGGCTTATTTAGTTGGTCTGCTTTAAAAGTACATAAGACACCCAGTGCCAAGGAGCAGAACCCTCCTGGCACTGAGGAGGTGAGCTGTGTGGGTGCCAGCAGCACCCCCCATTTGAAGTGAGAAGACACATAAACAAGTCTCAAAACCAGACTTCCAGATCACCTAAAGCAACTCCAAAGGAAAACGAGATGGAACAATCTGATACTCAACGACCTGGACTCCCTGAACTGGCAACAAAAGAATATCTGGAAAAAATGAAATCAGAAATAATTTCTCCATAACAGTAGAGATTGTGCCCATAGCGCAAGACATGATTAATAAATCTAGAGAGGACACAGTTAAAAATAATAGAGGAGCTGAGAAACATGATGGAATTCTAACATAGGAAACAAAAGGAATCCATAAAACAGGAGAAACCAGATTTCCAGGAGATTAAAAACTCCATTGAAAGATTACACAGCAGAATGAACCAATGTAAGGCCAGAATTTCAGATATAGAAGATAGGATTGCAATTAGTGACAAATTTCTTTAAAACTGTAAGGGACCACAAGAAATCAATCCAGCAGCTGTTAGGCAATGCAAAGAAGAATAACAAAAGACTGATCAGAGTCAATGAAGAAAGAGGAGAGAGTGCAGATGACATAAAAAAAAACTGTTCACA